GAGGAAAAGAGAGAAAAGCAGGCTCACTGCTCCCCTGGCTGCTTCCTGCCCACCTTGCCGTGGACTGTTTCTCCTCTGTGATGCCCCCTCTGCCATGCTGCCCTGCCTTGGAGCCAGCGATGGACTGAAATCTCTACAAATCTGAGCTGATATAAACCTCTCCTCCTTTAATTTGTAGGTGTTGAGTATTTTGTCCTAGCACTAAGAAAGTACCTAAAACAGTAGCCCACAATGCACCTATGCTCATTTGTATGGCAGGTAGCACATGGCGTGGTCTCTGCTCTGACAGGCTCAAGTAAATGTTAACTTTGACTCTTTTCATGTTGCTGCGGCGAGGCAGGGAGCCGAATGACCTGGGAACCTTTCTCTAGCAAGGCTGTTTCTGGCCAAACTATTGTCCAGATACTTCCTAACTCCCCAAATGGGCCCGTCCCCAGCTTATGCTTGGGAGGTCAAAGCATCCCTGGAAGTCATCCCTGCATTCCCTTCTGGCCCAGCAGGGAGTGGACAGGCCCAGGAGCTGCAGCATTTCGTCATCTGCCCATTGGACTGGTGGGGTGTGGGCAGAATAGTGGGCCTCGGAGGCCGGGCATAGACAGGAAGACACAAAGACCATGGAGTGGATGACTTGGAGCCCAACTGACCCAGAGGTACAGCTTTGGGAATCACATTACTCCCCAAAGGGAAGCAAAATAACAAGGGGGAGAATCTCAGAAGTTGGGAAGAGCGGGGGTCCAGGACAGGTTTCTGAGAAACCTTGGGCAGAAGGAGGAGTGGGGGTCACTCTGCCTCTCTGTCTGGAGATCTGCAGCAAGCCAGAGGCCCTCCCTGGGGCCAGGGCTGCTCCAGCCTGCCTGGGCTGTGGTGAGGAGTCAGCTAGGGCCGGGACACAAACAGGAAGTCAGGAGGACCCGGACCACTGGTCACAGGTGAGGCTGGAGAGGGCAACTTCCGGGGGCAAAGGAGTTTGTCAGACAGCACTGGTCAGTGGGATGGGAATACCAGGCTGAGCGGGAGCCCAGTGGCTCCAAGCTGGAGGCGAGAACAGTGAAGCTGGAAGGGTCGACTGTCGCTGTGTAGTCAGGCTGGGGGGAGAAAGGAGGCTGTGGCGGGTTGCGAGGGGCCTGCACTGCCAGGCCAAGGGGTTCACATGGCAGGGGCAGGCAGAGCCCGGGGGTGAGCAGAGGCGGTGCAATGGGCCTTCCGGGTCTGGCAGGTGGTGATGGGGACATCCAGGAGAAGGAGGCTCAGTCAGCTTTCACAGCCAGGGTCCGCAGGATTCTGAAAGGCAGAGGCCAAGGGAGGACGCACCAGGCTCTACTCAGAGTCAGCCACTTCCAGGTCTGCCTGGGCTGCGAGGTGCAGCATGAGGTTGGAGCACAGGATGCAGGGTGAGGGGGAAGTGGCTGAGCCGCCTCACCAGTGCCTCAGATTCCTAGCCAAGGAACTTGGATTTGGTCCCGTGGCCAGTGGGGCCACAGAAAGGTTCTGAGCGACAGAAAGTAACACTAGACCGAGTGTGCGACGGATCTGTCAGGCCAGTGCAGGGGAGGGACTGGGGGAAAGCTGGTGCTGGGCCCTGGCTGAGAGAGGAGGAGCCAGCGGTCGCCAGGAAGTGCAGGTGACAGGACCTGGTGCCCGGCTGGTTCTGGGGAGCCAGGGGCTGAGGACGTGCACAGTTTGCTCTTGTGGCACATGAGGCCTCCAGGACGATCACACCCCAGTAGAGAGACAGGCACGGTTTATGAAGGAGAGGGGAGGGAATACGAGGCTTGACTTTGGGGTGGGGGTGATTAAATTCATCCATTCAACCAGGGTTGGATATTGTGCCCCATGCTGGGGCCTGTGCTCTGAGGCTGGAATTTTGGCCAGGAGAGGGCAGGGCCTTCTTGGAGTGAGGCAGACAGTCACACTGTAGGTCAGTAAACAGGCAAGGCCCTCATGGCCTGTGAAGGAAACCAAGTGATGGGACAGCAGGCTTTGCCTGCATAGCTGGCATCATCACAGGCTGCAGAGATCTAAGGGCCCGGAGAAGCACCATCCTGAGGGGCAGAGAGGAACATCCCAGAGAGAACAGCAGACACAAGGCCCTAGATTTTTGTTGTTGTTGCTGTTTTTTGAGACTGGGTCTCACTATTTAGCCCCGGCTGGCCTAGAACTCAAGATCCTCTTGTCTCAGCCTCCCAAACACTAGGATTACAGGTGTGCACCACTTTTCCAGCCTACACAGAGGTCCTTGGGGGGGGGGCTTGTCGGGCCGAGCTGCAGGAAGGCAGCACCATGGCACTGGGGGCCATGTGCCACAAGATAGCCAGGGTCATGTCTACCTGGGGTCCTAAGGGGTTTGGGGCTTTATTCTAAGCAGAGGATGAAGGATTTTAAGTCAGGAGACTTAATGAGGAATCTGTGGGCTTAAAAACACATTGCTTGGATGTCGCTATGGAGAGAAGCGATTGGAGGAAGCAGGGTGGATGGAGAGGCCATTGTTGTGAGCCAGAGGTGGACAAAGAGTGGGGCAGGGAGAAGGGTGCAGGGCTCACTGAGCCTGAGGCTGGGCAGAAGCAGGAGCTGGCCTGGCTCTCCCCGCTCTGGCTGTATGACCTTGACCCTTTTGTACAACAGGGATCCTCCAGTAACAACCCTGCAGACCCACTTCGGGGTTCAGTGCATTTAGTTATGGCTGTCACCGAGGAAGGGCTCAGTTAATGTTCGTCATTGCCACCATTTCTGGGGTCAGAGTGGGGTACCTGCAGCTCTAAGGGATGCAGCTTGTTACAGGGACCTGAAACTCAAGAGGGGTTTGGGTGGAGACTCTGAGCAGATCTGTAGTTCCAACTGCCCCTGGGTGATGTCCTGAGGTACTCTGGGTTGTGACTGAGGGTGGCACTGGCATCTGGGGGTGGTGCCAAGCTGCTGCTGAGCACTCCACAAGCACAGGATGGGCTCACAGTGAAGCATCCAGCCCAGAATTTGAGTGGTGCCCAAGCCTGGAAGACCTGGCGTAGACAGAGGGAGTAGTTGAAGATATTGGAGAATGGTGTCCCAGGGACCAGGAAGGGGAACCAACTCAAATGTAAAAGACATTGCCATGAATCTCCCTCAGAATACTTCCCTTGGTTCAAACACACTCATACCATTCTTCCTGCCACTTTCTGAAGCCATTCTGGAAGTCCGTTCTTGTGAGGTATTTATTGTGCTGCTGTGGCTGCCTTGATGTCCTGAATCAATTGAAAACACTTACCTTTCACAGTCACATTGACTGGGGAAGGGCCAGAATTTGCATGGCACCAGCTCTGGTGAATAAGGTGGATGCAGACGCACCACCATGTTTTTATTTGCCTGCCTTTTTGTTGGATGGCACTAGGCAGCAGCATTCACTGTACCTTTTGTTTTATCTAATCACACCTTCCTTGGGAAGACACTCGTATAGGGCCGGGGATTTAGTTTAGTGGTTTTGCTGCCTGCTGTGCAAGCGCAAGGACCCGAGTTCGATTCCTGGTACAAAAAAAAAAGACACTCACATGAGGGGACTTCCAGAACTGCTTCAGAAAGTGGCAAGAACGATGGGATAAGTGTTTGAAGCGGAGTATTTTTGAGGGGCATTAACGGCTGGGGGCCAGTGGCTACCTTCATAGGAAACACAACCTTAGGGGATGTTAAAGTTCAGCCTGAGAGCAGCTGCTGGATCACAGGGTCCTCCGGAGAAGGCAGATACTTGCTCAGTTCCAGCTGATTGTTGCTACAACTACAGACCTCCCTCGATATGTATCTCAGAATTTGAATTTGTGCATTGCTTGGCTTTTAATATATCGTCCTGTAGCATGTTATAAAAGATACTTTGTGGTCCCAACCAAATACGTCTTTTTTGGCGGCCAGCATCCAGGATGCAACTGGTTCAGGGTGGTGAATGCAGCCACAGGGCAGGTGGCCATTAACCACTGGGGCGACTCACATGAAGGGAGGTAAATCACATTTGCACTCAGGACTTCAGAACCTCGAGCATCATTTCCAGCACCAACAGCCCCATGTCCCGGGGCTGGGCCTGCGGTGACCCCCTTCCGCCGCTGGCAGCTGCTGCAGCTGTCTGCCCCTCCCGCCCCAGCCAGGACACGGCCACTGTACAGCTACTTATCCGCAAACGCCTGGCCGCTCTGGGCCTGTTTCCCAAGAGTTCAGTGAGAAGCACACACCTTCCCACCTCCACTTCTGGCGAGGCCCGGCCTTCTCGGGGCTCGGTTTCCCCAGTTGCGGTGTTCCCTTCGGCCCAGCTGAGAAGTGTCCCTTCTCCCGCTCTCCACTTGGCTGGGTGGCTTTGCTGGGGAGGCGGGGTGGCCTGGTACAGAGGACAGACTGGGCGCGGCGGTGCCCGTGGGACCCACGCGAGCTCACCGGCCGGTCCTCGTCCCCTCCCCGTCCCCGCGCACTCCCTCGAGTCTCCCGCGTGGGAGGGGCCGGCTGCGGCGTCGGAACCTTCTTGCAGAGTGCGCGCGTTTCCGGCAGGCGCCTTTTCCCAGGGACGCCGCTGCCCCCTGCGCCCCCGCGCCAGCCGGTACCCCTTCCCCGGCGCCGCCGGCCCGGTGTGCCTGCAAGCTCCCTGGACCCGAGAGGCCGCTGCACCGGGTATGGGGGCCGGGAGGAGGGCGGAGCCGGGCCGGGGGCCGCGAGAGGCCGGCGGGCGGGGGTGGCGGCGCCAGGGACGGAGGGCGCCGGTCTCCTTGCGGAGGGGAGCGGCCGCGCCGTGGGGACCCGGAGGGATGAGAACCGGAGGAGAGGAGGAGGGACGCCGCGTTGTGCGGAGGGAGGGAGAGGACCGGGGAGAGGCCGCGGAGGGAGGCTCGGGTCCCGCGTGTGCCCGGAAGAGGAGGCGCCCGAGGGGAGCGAGGTGCTGGTGTCGTTACAGGGCTGGGGACCCGGGACACAGGGGATCGAATTGGTAGCAGGATGGGGACACAGAAGGCGGGCATTGAGGCGCCCTCGTGTTGTGCATGATGGGGGTAAAGTGGGGCGAGGATGGGGATCTCGAGGCACTCGGGGTGGGAATAGGACAGTCCTGGTTGAAAGTGGGGAACTGGGTTAGTGGGGCTCCGGGGACGCGAGGAGGAGATGGGGGCAGTGACACCGGGCTGAGGAGGCCCGAGGGCACCTGGCGAGGTGCAGACGGCGGAGGGCGGGACGCAGCCCCGGCTGGGGTGCAGCGCGGGGACAGGGGAAGACGCCCGGGGTAGGTGTCGCCCCAAGCTGGGAGGAGGAGGCGGGACAAGGCTGCCTTTGGAGGTGACCAGAAGCGGGGACGCGAGGGGCCTCCTGCGCTCCGTCCGCCCCACCCCCGAGCTGCCAGAGGTAGGCCGGGAGGTCGGGCCTGCAGCGAGTGTTTTCTAGCTGGAAGGCCGGTCCGGCGCCGAGAGAGCAGGACGGGGATGCCTCCTGGCCAGGAAGAGGCGCCCTTAACCTCTCTCCCTCGCCGCTCCCAGCTCCGCTCCAGATGCTGCTGCTGCCGCCGCGGCCGCCCCATCCTCGGTCCTCTTCCCCCGAGGCCATGGACCCACCGCCCCCCAAGGCTCCCCCTTTTCCCAAGGCGGAGGGCGCCGCTTCCACGCCCTCCTCGGCGGCTGGGCCCCGGCCCCCGCGGTTGGGCCGCCACCTGCTCATCGACGCCAACGGGGTACCCTACACATACACAGTGCCGCTGGAGGAGGAGCCCCGGGGCCCCCAGCAGCGCGAAGCGCCCCCAGGGGAACCCGGCCCTCGAAAGGGCTACAGCTGCCCAGAGTGTGCCCGGGTCTTCGCCAGCCCGCTGCGGCTGCAGAGCCACCGCGTGTCGCACTCGGACCTCAAGCCCTTTACGTGCGGCGCCTGTGGCAAGGCCTTCAAGCGCTCCAGCCACTTGTCGCGGCACCGCGCCACGCACCGCGCCCGCTCCGGCCCGCCGCACTCGTGCCCGCTGTGCCCGCGCCGCTTCCAGGACGCGGCCGAGCTGGCGCAGCACGTGCGCCTGCACTGAGCCGCCCCAGCCCCGCCGAGGCGCCTGCCACTCAGGCCTCGGCTTCCCCATCCACCCGCGGGAGAAGTTCTTCCTTCCTCTCCCGTATAGCGTCTAGCTGTGTGATGTAGACCAAAGCTGTCGCCCCTCCCTGCGCCCGGGAGCCGGTGGGAGCTGCGCTCCGGGCCCGCTGTGCTGCGGGAGCCGTTGCCCGCCCCGCGACCTCCGAGCCCTGGTGTTCTGCTCTCCGAAGTGGCGAACGGTTTTCTTCTGCGTGGAAGTCACGACACAAGAGCGCCCGAACGGTCTGGTTCACGTTTGTACCCCCTCCGCCCACGACTCCCCATTCGTTGCTCAATAAACATTCCGCACTCCATCTCAGGCTGGGCCTTGTGTGTTGGGTGCTGGGCGAGGCCTGGGCTGAGGCCGGACCGTGAGCACTTCGGAACCTTCCTCTCGCTACGTTCGTGTTTCCGGCCGGAGCCACTTCTCGAGGCCCTGCGCGCCCCGCCCCCGCCGTCCGGCCCTGGACCCTCTCCTCGCTCCCCGGGTCTTCGCTCCCTTCACCCAGCACCGCTGGCTCCCGGGGACACCTTGGGGTCCCGGCCCTCTGTCGCCCGCAGCTGCCAGGGCAGCCCGTGGCTGTTCGGAGTCGTCCGGACCCGAGAGGCCGCTGCACCGGGTACTGGGCGGACGCGGAGCGGGGGGCGGGGCGGGGTCGGGCGGCACCTGCGCGGCTGGGCGAAGGCAAAGGCGAAGGCCGGTGGGGGCGCAGGATGGGCAGCACCTGGGCTTGGTCAGGGCGGGACTCCCGAGGAGGAGCAGGAGGGGAGGGGGAAGATTCGTGAGTGCCGTGGGTGGCGGAGCCCGGGGGGCGGAGAGACCCAGAGGCCTCCGAGACTCAGAACCCAGACGTAGGTGGCAGGGCTGAAGAGCAGGTGGAGTGAGGGTATGCCGAGGGCCGTGCTGCCCCTGCTCCAGAGCGACCCCTGCTCCTCTCTCCGCCCCCAGGACCCAGTCACCCTCCGGATGCTGGTGCTGCCGCCCCCTTGTCCCCAACCCCTGGCGCTTCCCTCAGTAGAGCCCATGGAGGCCCCGCTCCCTCGTTCGGGCAGGTGCCTGGAACCTGGACCTTCCTCCTCCATCGCACCACCCCAGACTTCGACCTCTCCGAGGCCAAGCCACTACCTTCTCATTGACACCGAGGGTGTCCCCTACACTGTGCTGGTGGATGAGGAGTCACAGAGGGAGCCCAGGGCCGATGGGGCTATGGCCCAGAAAAAGTGCTACAGCTGCCCGGTGTGCTCGAGGGTGTTCGAGTACATGTCCTACCTTCAGCGACACAGCATCACCCACTCGGAGGTGAAGCCCTTCGAGTGCGACACGTGCGGGAAGGCGTTCAAGCGGGCCAGCCACCTGGCGCGGCACCACTCCATCCACAGGGCAGGCGGCGGGCGGCCCTACAGCTGCCCGCTGTGCCCGCGCCGCTTCCGGGATGCTGGTGAGCTGGCCCAGCACAGCCGGGTGCACTCTGGGGAGCGCCCGTTCCAGTGCCCACACTGCCCGCGCCGCTTTATGGAGCAGAACACGCTGCAGAAGCACACGCGGTGGAAACATCCTTGAGCCGCGCCGGGGCCAGAGTCCTCTGAAGCCCCCAGACCCCGCTGAGTTGCAGGCGGCTTTGGGGTTCCTAGACACACACACACACACACACACACACACACACACACACACACACACACACACACACACACACACTGGCCTGCTCTCACAGTGAGCCCTGCCAGGAAGAAGAGCCTTGGGCTTTGGGTGAGTTCACATGAAGAATGGAGTCCTCTGGTCTCAAAGGCTTGGGACATTCCCAGTGGAGCTTGACCGAGGGGCAGATGCTGTGTGTGGAAGCTCCTGCCTCAGCCAAGTGGCTGGGGGCCTGAAAGTGGGCTTGAATACTGTACGCCGCCGAGTGTCTGGCGCCAAGCACTTTGCTTTTGGAGACTGTCGCTGATGTCTGTGCTCAGCGCTTTGGAAGGGCTCAGCTGGCCTGCTGGGGAGAGGGAAGGTGTCCAGGCCTGAAGACCCGTGTCACCCCGGAAGAGGGTCTTAAACTTTTTTAAAAAACAGACATAATCCACTGTAACGTACATGTTTTATGTGACAACCAGTATACAGATACACGAAATGTATGCCAAATTTAACAGTAGTTGAAAGACACCCCGATTTTTCGACCATAATTTTTTAAAATATAGAGCCCATCCTACTATATTAGATTCTCTGTCCATGAACCTGTGGTTTGAAAAACACTGATCTAGGGCAAGTGGCCCCTGGACTTTCTGATCCAGGCCGCAACTTATCTGCAAAGCCAAGTAGGAGGGGAGCAGGCCACAGCTTCCTTGGGGTCCGTCGCACACTCAGACTCGTGGCCAGCGAACGTGAGAGGCAGGTGGAGCTGAGCCTCAAGTTTAATAAACATCGGCCTTCTTGATGCCTTTTCGTTGCTTTTATGCTAGGCCTTCTTTCCCCCTCCGACCTCTTTTTGGGCGGAGGGACTAATCTGCTCGGCACTCAGCGGAGCAGAGCGGGGTGGGCTGACCCCTGACCTTGGGTGGAGCCCCGCTTGTGGGCGCCGCCCTTTATGGGTGTTTTATCACTGCACCCCCACGAGGACCCCGGAGGGGGATGTTCTCCCCCTCTCTCTCTCCTCTTCCTCTCCCTCTCTGGGCCCAACCGGGCCGGGGAGGAGCAGATCGGCTGGACTAGCTCCGTTCCACAGCCAACTTTAATTACTAGAAGAGGGTGGTGGTGACCGTTCCTGGCCCCTATCCTTGGAGGACTGGCTGAGGACAGGGTGCTAAGTTCCTTGGGGAAGGGGGTCACTAAAAGGAGACTCTCCTTTGGATTCAACTTCCTCGACGGCCTAGCCATCATTCAGCGCCCCCCCCCCCCCCCCCGTGCCTCGCCAGCACTGCAGGATGGGAATTTCGCGACGCTCCCTGCCTGCGCTCCGGGGAGGGCGGGGGAATATTGCAAGGGGCCGTCTCGCAAGTGCGGCCCCAGCCCCGGCGTCCACCTCGAGGCTCACCTGGGAGATGGGCTCCCCGAGGCCGCGGGGCGCGGGCCAGATAGGGTAACCCCGCGTCCTCGATCCCCGCCGCCCTGGTCCTGGTCTCGCCCGCGCCCCGCCGCCTGCTTGCAGATGGGCGCGCGCTCCTTTCCGCTCCCCGTGACACTTTGCAGACGCTCCCCGGCGCCGAGCATGGGCACCGCCGCCGCCGCCGCCGGTGCCCGGGCTGGATTCCGCGCGCGGGTGGGTGAGCGTGGGGGGCCCTAGCCCTTCGGACCCCGGGCACCCGAGGGCGGGTGATGGTGGCCTTGTGCGCACCCCTGCTGGGACCCCCTTCCAAGACGCCCCCCCCCCGCGGGACAAAGGGCGGGGGCGGGGGGCGCATCCCCACGCGCGACCTTCCCTGCACTACGCCTGCGCACAGCCTCTCGGCTACGGGGGAGGGTCCTGCTCCCTGCGCGTGTGCGGGGGACGCCCGGGGCGAGGGACAGTGCGCACGGGTTGGATGGACCCCCACTCTCGGCCGGGAAGTTGGGGCGCGCTCCCCGCTATGCGCACGACCTGCAATGAGGTCCTTCCCATTCAGGCTGGAGGTCCCTGCTGCATCGACCCCAGGGGGAGTCCGGGTCCCCAGCCAACTTCTCCCCGGGGTCGAGGTGTCAGCTCCCTCACGCCATAGGCGCCCAGTTTGAAGCCGAGTCCCAGAAGTGTGGGGGTCCGGCCTCGAGCTCCTTCTCCCTCCCGAGCAGTGGGGGCCTCCCTTCCCCCAGGACTGACTCCGACTGTGGCCGCTGTCTCTGCTGGGTGTGCTGAGGCGGCCCGGGTCTGCAGGAGGCCAGCCATGAGCGACAGATGCAGCCGTCGGCGCACAAGTGAGGAGCCGGCCCCTCCCTACCCTAGGCCCCCCGCCCCGGACCGCCAGGGGTGGGGACTCTGACGGGCCTGGCCCTCGAGGTGACCTGCGCCGGCCTCTCCTCTCTAGTGAAGAAGGACGACGAGGCCTTCGAGATCTCCATCCCCTTCGAGGAGGCGCCCCACCTAGGCTCACAGATCTTTTACAGTCTGAGTCCTTCTCGAGGAAACTTCGAGGGTGAGCCAAGGGGGTAAAGAAGGACCTGTCAGTTGGGGCGCGTCCTCGTGCTGTGGTGTGACCCAGGCCCCTTCCCGCGGTCCCTAGAGCCCCCGGAGGCCGCGTCCCCCACGCTGGCCCTGATGAACGGGGTCAAGGCCCAGCTGCACATGGCCCTGGAGAGGAACTCCTGGCTGCAGAAGCGCATCGAGGACCTGGAGGAAGAGAGGGACTTCCTTCGGTGTCAGCTGGACAAGTTCATTTCCTCGGCACGGATGGATGCAGGTGCGGGGCAGGGGCCGCGCTGCCAGTCCTCTCAGACCCTAGGCCACTCCTGGCACCTTGGCGCCAGATTGGAAGCCCCACTGTTGGGTGGCGCGGTGGGGACCCAGCATCTTGACCTTCACCAATTCCCTGCATGTCTGTGGGACGTGGAGCCTGGACTTGTAGTTTGACATCTATGATGGCTCGTCCTAAGTACTACTGCCTGCCATCTGTGAGCACCCCTCCTCCAACCCTACCAGCTTCAAGCCCCTGTGCCCTTGGTGGCCTGAGACCCTTGGGGAACCTCATTCATCTCCTTGCATGGGGAGACCACCACCTCCTTTGGCTCCTCTGGGTCCTGTCCCACCTTCCACCTATCTTTTCCTATTCCAAGCATCCAGTTTCCTCTCATCTAGCTGGTTGGAGGACTTGGCTTTCCATCCACCCCATCTCATCCCTTGGTTAATCCATGCTTCTCCCACCTCAAAGACCTTAAAACCCTTGCTGGCGGATTCAACCTCTCGTCGAGCTGGGGATCTCCGCCCCCCCCCCCCCGCCCCACTATGCGCACAACCTGCAATGAGGTCCTTCCATTCAGGCTGGAGGTCCCTGCTGCATCGACCCCAGGGGGAGTCCGGGTCCCCAGCCAACTTCTCCCCGGGGTTGAGGTGTCAGGGCCCCCAGCTCCCTCATGCCATAGGCGCCCAGTTTGAAGCTGAGTCCCAGGAATGTGGGGGTCCGGCCTCAAGCTCCTTTTCCCTCCTGACCAGTGGGGACCCTGCAGCCTGCCTGTTCACCTCTAGACCAGAACTCCTGCGCTGAGGAACTCATTCCCTTCTCATCCCATCTCCACACACACCCCAAGCTGGGATCCTTGGGAGCTCCCGAATGGTTGCCCCCCTCCCAAGCCTAGACAGGAGCCTGTTTTTTTGGGGGGGGGAGCGTTTCTGTTGCTGAGGATCCCAGCATTTGGTGATCTGGACCTTCCTGTCTCCCCATGCAGAGGGGCCCATTCTGGGTGACTGCTTCTCCTCCTTGATGGCCGAGCACAGAGGCCTCTGGTCTTTCTCAGTGGGGACCCCGGCACCCCCACTGTCTCTGGGTGAAGGTGGTCACTTTTTCTAATCTTCCAGACTGAGCCCTGGTTTCTCTTAAGTGCCTGCCTCTGAGTCTCCAGGCCCTGCTCTCTGGAAGTCCCTTTGGGGCCTCGGAATTCTTCCTGTAGGAAATGGCAGTCACAGATTCTCCCAAGGTCTGTGGTCCTGTGGGGGAGCAAGGCCTCAGCTGCTGACCAACTTCAGAAGCCTGGGAAGATACTGCCCCAACCCCAGCTGGTTCTTCATTCTGTGTGGCCAGTGTGTGGGCTGCCCTCCCTGTCCACCTGTCTCCTTGGGGGTTCAGCCACCCAGGCCCTTTCCCTTGGGATCAGCGATGTGATGTTTGGTGTTGCAGTTCACTGTGTCTCTCTCTCCAGAGGACCACTGCCGCATGAAGCCTGGGCCTCGGCGGGTGGAGGGGGACAGCTGGGCCGGGGCTGGGGGCGAGGCCTCAGACCCCGAGTCTGCTGCCTCCTCGCTGAGTGGGGCATCTGAAGAAGGCAGTGCCAGTGACAAGAAGAGGCAGAAGCAGAAGGGAAGTGCCAGTCGGAGGCGCTTCAGGAAGCCCAAGGCCCGGGAGAGGCAACGGGGTGAGTGGGGTGCATGGGCCGGGGTGTGTCAGGGGGCTGGGGGTGTGAATTCTGCAGAAGGTCTCTGGCCCCCGCCTCCACAGATACAAAAAGACCAGCCCTGGGGCCACCATCCAGCCTTAAGTGTGGTCCTGGGTTCACTTCTTCACCCCCACCAGTGGGGTGACCTTGGGGAACCTCTTTGAGCCTCAGTTTCCTCATCAGAGAGGAGGCTCCTGGCCCACCTCATGAGAAAGCATCCGTGCAAAACTGGAGGAGGGGGTCACGGCTTGGGCGTTGGTCTGGGAGCTCGTTCCCTGAATCCTGCCTCTCATTTCCTGGGTCAATCTCTTTAATTCCTGCTGTCCAACTCCTGTGTCCCTGTCTCCCGTTTTTCCTCATGTTTTCCATTTTGTTTTCTTTTCCTGGACTGGTTTTCTTACACCCCTGCCTCCTCTTCCTTTCTGTGCCTGTGCCCCTCACCTTCTCCCTCCTCCCATGTCTGCTCTCCCATTTCTATTCTTCCCCCGCTCTGTCCCTTGTCTGCTTGTCCCCTTGGACCTGCAGTGAAGGACGCCGATGGGGTCCTCTGTCGCTACAAGAAGATCCTGGGCACCTTCCAGAAGCTGAAGAGCATGTCTCGGGCTTTTGAGCACCACCGCGTGGACCGCAACACCGTGGCGCTGACCACGCCCATCGCGGAGCTGCTCATCGTGGCGCCAGAGAAGCTGGCCGAGGTGGGCGAGTTTGACCCTTCCAAGGAGCGCCTGCTTGAGTACTCCCGCCGCTGCTTCCTGGCGCTGGACGACGAGACGCTCAAGAAGGTGCAGGCGCTCAAGAAGAGCAAGCTGCTGCTGCCCATCACCTACCGCTTCAAGCGGTGATACCGCCCCTCTGCCCCCGCCCCCGGAACCTCTGCTCCCCGCTCCCGGGCCAGGCGCCGCCTCCCTGCACTAGGCCTGTCCCTCGCCCAGCGGGGCTGTCACCTGTTTCACCCGACCCCGCGGGGGCCGGCCTCATTCCATGTGAGACAGAGAATTATTCAGAGCATTTAAATTAAAGACACGTGAAAATTTGGAATACACTGGGCCCCAGCTATTCCTCGGAGGGGGCGGCCGTCGCCACGGAGACGGGGGCGGTCAGGCAGGAGCCGGGAGGTTGGGGAGGACAGGGTGTAATTAGCCCGGGGAGGCAGAGGTGGGGGGGAGCAGCAGCTGTTCCCCGAGGTGCCGGCTCCGGGAAGGAGGCGGACACTATCCGCTGGGCTACCTGAGCTAGAGGCGCCGCAGCAGAAGTCGCGACTGGAGGACCTCCAGTGGAGCAGACGGCCGGGGGACAGGCGGCTTGTGGACGCGCCCATCAGTCAGCCGGCCAAGGGGAAGTAACGCGAGGTCGACCCTGTCCCGGAAGTAGCGTTACCACCGCCCTCAGCTATAGCGCTGCAGGAGGGGCGCGGGTGCAGTTACGCGGTTGTCAAGGCAACCAGGAAAAGCTGCCTTCATTAACAGTCTGGAATTCAGTACCTTGTATTGGGCAGGGACAATTTCGCGCATGAGTACTGTGGACTTTAGAAACCTCGCCTAAAACCGGCCTGTACGCAGGCGCAAAAGTCCGTCTCGCCACCTCCTTCGTAACGTGCGCAAGCGCAAAAAGCCGTGCTTGCAACCTCCGCAGCATCCTCGCGCACCCTTCACTGGCTCGCTGCTTTTGTCTTGCGCAACTTCACAGGCCTCCCCGAGATCGGCCTTTTTCTTCTGCTCTCCTCACCGAGAGAGACAGATGCCGAAAGACGGGAGCCCACCCCCTTTTTTGTATCCCTTCCCCTGACCCACCTCACCTCCATCCTCCCTCCCTATTCGGTTCTCGAAGCCGGAAGGAGCCGAATTGTAGACGGAAAAAGCCGAAATTACCCCTCGAGAGCGAGGCTTTCCCAAAGCAGTGGCGGAAGGAGCCGAAGCTCCCGGAAAGGGTGGAGTGAACGAGTGGAATCTCCGGAAAGAGCCGAAGCTTGGGTCTATTTTCATCTCTGGAGGGGCCGTGGTCGAGTGCCGGAAACCTTCGAAAAGTGCTGAAGTGCTGGGTGGTTAGAATTGTCGGAAGTGGCGGACTGCTTGGACAGGGACAGCGGAGAAGAGACGAGCGAATCTGAGGACAAAGCTTAAGACTGGGAAGATTTGAATTGTCGGAACAGGAACCCTTTTGAGGGAGCTGGGTGCAGAGGAACGCGAGGACCCACGAAAATCTCCGAACGTTGAATCGCTAATTTCCGCAAAGTTGCCGAAATCGGAAGCAGGAGAAACCCTCGCTTCGGGTGTTTTCGGAAACAGCCGAAGCCGCCGCCTGCCTACTTTGGTCGACCGTCCGGAAACAGCCGACACACTTCGGAACCAGGCTTGGGGGAGAGGGGCCGCTTGCAAGGGGGCGGGCGGGGCGAGGGGGCGGAGCCGGGGCGGGGCGGGCTGCTTGGGGCCTTGATTAGGTAGGCGACGAAGCGCCGGCGGCGGCCGGAAGTAGCCGAAGCCAGCGGCGGAAGTAGCCGAAGCGGCCGGAGCGGGCGGGCGGCAAGGCGAGGCGAGAGCTGCTCAGGGCCCTACGCGGCCGCTTCAGCATGTCGGACTTCGATGAATTCGAGCGGCAGCTCAACGAGAATAAGCAAGGTAAGGGCGGCGGGGTCACAGGGTGGCGGTGCGGCCCCTTCCTTCGCTCCCTGGCCCCAGACATTTTCCCCTCGCGTCCCCCTCAGGGCCGCGCTGTGCCATCCCCCCCCACTCCGCGGCGCGCGCCTCGTTCACGTGACAGCCGCCTTCCGCCCCGCGCGGCGAGGGATGGGGCGGCGAGCGCGGCGGGCGCGGCGAGGGCGCATGCGCGCGGCGGCGTTCCGCGCCCACATGGACGCGGCGCGGCGTGCCTAGGCGCGCAGTCTTTTCGTATTTTTTGGGGGAAGGAGAGGATAGGTCCTTGGTCTGGCCTTTTTCTCCCGCTGCCTGGGCGCTTCCGCTTCCGGTCGGGTGCCCGGCCCCAACTCCACGCCCCCTTTGTTTCCAAGATGGCGGCTTGGGTGGCCGCTTCCTTCTTTCACGTGGACGGGGCGCCCCCCTCGCGCCCTGTTCTCGGGCTTTAGGGACTCCCTGCTTAGCGCTTCTGCCCGCCCGTGTCGGCCACCTGTTCCTCGTGGGAGGAAGAAGGATGCCTCTATTGTGTCCTGCACGCCCCTGTTCTGGGTGCGCTAGAGCTTGTGGCCATGTGCAGTGTTTGTCCCCCATGTCCTCAGCTTGAAGCAGGCCCAGGTCTTGCCCCATCCCAGACTTAGGGCATCTAGATTCAGCCTCTTGATCCTCTCTGCAGACATCAAGAGCCGGCCCGTGGGTGCGCCTCGTGCGACCCGGGGCGGGGGGGCGTGGGCCGGACAGAGACCCCGAGAAAGTGAGGATCGTCAGCAGACGTTTTGAGTCTCTTGCCTCGGCTGTATTTTGGTTTGAAAGTGAAAAAAGCTTAGGAGTCTAGACTTGAATTTTTTTTGCGCTTGAGGCTCAAGTTGCTCGTTACTGGTTGTAGTGGGGTGGAGTGGATGAGGGACTAAGAATTCTCCTTTGGACCCAGGCTGGAGTCGGTAGGGGACTGGCTGGGGTGAGGCAACAGTGTCTCGGGAAGAAGTAACTTAAATGAGGGTCCGAGGCCAGTCTGTCTTTAGGTAGTGTACTGCATAAGAAAGGCATAGGCTTTGGGGTTGAGTATACCTGTGTTTAAGCACCTGTGGTGTTGTCTAGTAGTTGTGCTACTTTTAACATCTTTGTTCTTGAGTATTTTCCCTCGAGATCGACCTTCACTGTTTAGGCACGAGGCTTTTGAGAAGATTAATAAGGAGGATAGTAACAGTTGCAGTTGCTGTGTGTCAAGCAGTTTACTAAACTTTGCGTGGTTTTATTAAGTGAATTCTGTAATAGCTTCTGAGAACAAAATAACTTTCTTTTTATTGGGAAGGAAACAGACTCACAAAGATTAAAATCTACCGGGTCTCCTGGTCAGAAACAGGAGCTGAGATTAAGTGGGGTAAGGGAAGCATGCGACATGTGGCTTTGCACATGTTAAGTGCTTAATAAATGAAATTTCTTATTGTCACAAATTTAGGAAGAAGGTAGAAAACCAGGTCTTTGGCTCTCCCATAGGCATAGCATTAGAGTTGGGGGAGAGCAGGGCAAGTTCAGCCAAGTTCTCAGAACACCTAGGTGGGGCAGACATGACCCTAGTTTAAAGAAGTGAAAACTGAGTGTTAGAGGTTAAATTGGGTGGATTTATGCAGAGGTCTGCCTGCCAAGCAGAGCTGCTTATTGCTCTGGTCCTCCAGGGCTGTCCCTGCCAGTGCTAGAAGATTGGGCTGAGATCTGGCACATCTTGCTTGATGCAGCTGATTCCACAACAGTAGTTCGGGCAAGTGAAGCTCCCTTTCTGTTCTTAACCCATCCAGCAGCAGTTTTAGCTGCAAGGGAAGCTCTGCCCTCTTGTCACCTGTCTCTAGGTACTGGCCAGCCAGCCTCTCAACACCTGTTTCAGCTTCAGGCCCTTCTTTAGCTGTGATCCAGGCACCTAGTGGGCATGGCTGCTTCCTTTCTATGGTTTTGAGTCTGCCAGACCCAGAAAGGCTCTGGCAGTCTACAGCCTGCCCGTATTACACTGGCACCCCCACTCCCGTGCTGGCTACTAAACCCAGTACCTGCACTGTGGTCTGTCCCCAATTCATCTCCTGATCCTGGTCTTTGGCCTCTGGGGATGAAGTCCCATTGCCAGACAGTGGGTGTCCTGCAGCCTGGTGCCTGACTGCAGAGTCTGAATCAAGTTCAACTGTTTCCCCTCTGTGCAGCCTTGGACAGGTTGCGATTTCTTATGTCTCTGTATGTGAATCTCCAGGGGTGTTTGTCCAAAGCAGTAGTGAGGACTAAGTGCAAATAAAACTATTAATTGTAGATTCAGGTTGTATGAAGCATTTCCATGTTTGGATGAACCCCCCCCCCCCCCCCCCGATTTTGCTGAGCACTAGTGTTTCGTTTTTAAGTTGAGGTGGATTTACAAAAAGTCCATATTCGATTCCATCAGAAAAGTATGTAGGGCAAATCGTTGTGGAGAAGCTGAAGTGTCTTCTGCTGCTCTTTCCTCATGACATTACCCCCAGCAATCACTTTCTTAAGAGATGCATGCTGGACTATAAAGCATGTGACTGGGTTTGTTTTTGCTTGTGCCTGGTGGATGGTGAGAAGTCAGGGGTGCCTTTGAGTTAAGGAAGTTCATGTGATGGTGCCTGCCACTTAGCTGCCACCATGAAGAGGGCCCCTTCTGCACACGGCAAGGACCTGTGGAACCAGAGAGGTCTCTGTGGTTTGGCTGGCAAGGCTGTGCTGTTCTTTGCCACTGCCTCCGCCTCTGAGGCAAATGAGGCTGAGGAAGCTGCACCTGCTGGATCCCAGTGGTACCTAGGTCTCTGCTCTCACCCGCCCGCCCCTTTTTTTTTGGTACGGGGTATTGAAGTTGGAAACTTACGGTTGCTAAATCTCTGGCCCCCGCCCACCCTTCTTGCAGTTGGTGTGAGGGAGTGGGGTTCCAGCCCAGGTGAGGCCTAGGCAGTCTGAAGGAGACCCCTCCCTTGAGAGCACGTCTGCATTATTCATCTGGCCAGGAAGGGATGGCATTGAGTTTCCCTACTTCCTGGGGTTACCAGATCCTGCCTGGCCTGCCCCTGGCCCTGATGGTGGGGCTGAGGGTGCCTGCTGGTTGCAGAGGTCTTTCCTGAGGGGCCACTGGGTCCCTTCAGGAGAACATCATTGGGTCTCTTGATTCCCCAGCGTCTAGCCCTGCCCCTCTCAGGGACGACCCTGGGGTCAGGCCCCTCAGCCCTCGAGGGGGACCGGGAGCTAGCCTCCTCTGTCTTCTCTGGCTCCTCAGCTCCTCTTGAGCGTCGTCAGGTATACTGTACCCCCGGGGCGTTTCCAGGCCCTGTCTCCTTGTCCCCTCGAGTCCCCAAGGACTCCTGTGTGGTGGTGCCAGGAGGCTGTGCACTCACTCCCCTGCTCCACTGCTTCCCGAACCCCTG